TAGAGACAGGGTCTCGCTCTTGCTCAGGCTGGTTTCGAACTCCTGACCTCGAGCAATCCATGAGGCCTTGACTTCCTTCTACCATAGTGAGACATTGCACTCTAGTACATTCTGTACCTTCTGTCCTTCCCCCTAGAATGTGAGCCACTGAAGGGCTAGATTTCCTGCCACCATCCCAGTGCCAGGCACGTAGTCAGCCCTCAGTCTTTGCCATGGAGAGAGAGCCTGCCTAAAGATGAAGCCAACTGGGAGAAGAGTCAAACACAGATGGAGAGAGATACCAGATTTTGGAGCACCTGGATCCATCTGCACCTGAAGCCATCCCAACCCCTGGGCTTGTGGGCATCTCATGAATGTGTGGAAAACAAAACAGCATCTGTTCGGCCCCTAATGGCCAGGCTTATGAGGAGCATGTTGTATTCAAAGAAACAAGACAGCAGCTGCTGTCAGATACTGAGGAGTTCGGCACCGGCTCGCTGCCTGCAACTCCAAGGCTACCCCCGTGGTCATCCCCGGAGACCCTGCACTCAGGCACACGGTCCCTCCAGTACCTGGCCTCGCCCCTCCTGCCCAGCCTGCACATGCCGGTGCTGCCTGTCTGGTTGTTAAGTGTTGAAACGCTGCGTACAGATCAGTCCCGCTAAGTGCAGGGAAGTGGGCCGGGGCAGAGGTGGCTCCTAGGCTGGGCCAGGCAGAGAGGAAGGAGGTGGGGCTGGGGCTGAGGCCTCACGCCCCCCACTCCCCAAGGATGGGTCAGGGGTGCAGCTCTGTTCCCAGGCTCTGCAAGCTCCGAGCCCAGCTCAGGCACACCTGGCCCCACAGGGGCTGGGCAAGGGCACCCTGAGGCAGGCGGGAGAAACAGAATCTTCCTACCAGCCCTGACACCCCCACGAGCGCGTCTGCCCTCCTCCCGCCCTGCCCCTACTGCGGAGCACCGAGGGCCGGTTTCCCGGCCATGTCCTGCAACTAAACAGTAGGGACAAGTTAGGAAAGAGTCTGTACTCGCTGAGACAGACGACTCTTGCTCTAACAGGGAAGTTCGGGCGGCATCCCGTGTTGTTCCCACGTCAACGCGTGGTCCAGTAGGGCCATCATTCAGCTCCTCATCCTCATAAGATCACACCATTAATTTCTAAAAACCATCCAGTGATTTTGGGGCTTATTAGAATAATATGATGAGTCATTTGCACTTCAACTTTTAAGGCAGTTTCTTAATATATACTTGATGTATATTGAAAATCAGAGTGCACGTTTTAGTTTTTGTCTTATATGTGGATTTGTATGACCTTCCCAGTTACTAGATACTTTGGATATCTTGCCTATCTCACCCAACCTGAGCCACTGGGTTCATGGTCTCACCCTTCGCTTCCCTCCTCAATCTGTCTTTCACGCCCACTCCCTGACCACCACGTGCCCCTTTCCAGCTCGCTCCATGCACCCGACTCCAATTCTTCACCCCCACCCCAGGCTTCCAACACACCCACCCCACCGCCTGTCCGGCCTTGCTTGGCCTGGGTCCTCGTTTTCCTCTTTAGTGGCCTGGAGGCCGCCATCCTTCATAACCCCCCACCCCCTCCCCGTCTTGCACTCCCCTCACCAAGCCCCTCCTGGCTGACGGCAGCTTCAGGAAAGTCCCCAACTCTACAGCACCGCACCCTGGATGTGGCCGGAGAAAATCACAGACTGTCCAGAGGGTTTTCAAGCCGCCGACACACACACTTCACAGCCTGGCCCACCCCCCAGCCCACTCTCATGGGAAAGAGTTCACTTCCCTTCCTCCTTCCTTAAATCTCCAACCCTCCCTTCCTCCCCTGCTCGCTCTCCGTTGATGATCCTGCTCCCCATCTCCTCGGGAAAATAGAAGCGACCAGAAGAGAAGTGTCACAAGCTCCCACCCTGTTGGTGCCCACCCCGCACTGCACCCTCAGGTGCTACCTTCTCTCCCGGTGCGCCATCATCCGCCTTTGCACCTGGGTCCTGGACCTCGTCCCTCTCACGCGCTCCCCCCTCGCTGCAGGTCATCGCAGCTTCCCTTTCTACTGGAACATTCCCACCAGCATCACACATGCCTTACCCCGTCTCCCCCCCACAGAACAGCCAGCATGAGCCAGCTAGGTGTAGACACCCCGCTAGCACAGGGTGGGAGAGCAGCGGGAGATCGGGGGAAGGAGACCACAAAGGACGTGGTGGAGGCTCAGGCAGAAAGACCAGCATGTGCAAAGGTCCTGTGGTAGGAAGGAGCATGGAAGGAAAGATGGCCCAGCGAGGGAGGAGGTGAGTGGGAGGGGAGGCTGGAGAAGGAAGTCGGGGTCAGGCCCTGTTGAAAGATGTGCTTTTCCCTGAGAGCACTGGGAAGCTGTGGGGTGTTTTAAGCTGGAGGTGGCATGATCAGGTCTGGAGTTTCAAAGGATCACTGTGATTACTCTGTGGGGAGGGATAAGAGTGGGTGCAAAATGACAAGTGGGGGGGCTACGCAGTCATCCAGGGGCACAGGGTGGCAGCTGGTGGTGGGTGGGGCTGTCAAGGGAGACATCAGCAAGTTTGAGAGACGCGAGGAGCTAGGACGGGGAGGACGTGGTGAGGGATGGCGCCCGCAGCGAGGAGGGAGAGAAGTCGGCGAGGATGGCGGGTTCGGCTGGCACGAGGCAGCCGTGGAGAGGGTGCCTCCGCAGGACCAGGCTTGAGGGAGAGGTCATGAGTTCAGGTTCGCTGCCTTTAAAATGTCCCCAGGAGACGTCCACTAGGCAGTTGGGTGCCCAGGTCTGGGCCTCGGAGGGGAGGTCTGGGCTGCCGGTTGTGTCCCACGGCCTCTCCACGGGCGTCTCTGGGGCCTTCCTTCTGGGCCAGGCGCTGTGCTAGACGCCAGGGCCCGAGGAGCTGCCAGGCTGTGTAGGGACCGGAGCGGGCGTGGCCCACCGGCAGGGAGCGTGGGGCCCTCTGGGTCGAGCTTGTCCCCAATTTGTTAGGAGCCTCGGGGCACGTCAGCACGGCTCTCAAGCCTGCCGCCTGCACAGAGGCCTTACAAAGCTGCTGAAATATTTGTCAGATTGAATTGAAAGAAAGTGCTCTGCAAAGTGCTTTTCAAATACACTGATTTGTAATTTTAACAATAGGGAGAGTTTTTGTATCCTCTTAGCAGCTGTACGAAGACTTTGCTCCTAGAGAAGGCAGAGAAGGGTGTGTGGTTGGATCAGGGGACACGTTACTAGGGAGAGGAGACACATGAGGGCAGAGCGGTGACCAGAGGTGGGGTGAGAGGGTCCAAAACTCTCAGAGCAGAGACCTGCCCAAGGGGACCGTTTGGAGTGGCCCTGCGAAGCTTCAGCAGAGCTACCAGAAGTCCCAGTGTGCTCTGGGCAAATTGTTTTTCTTGCAGAAGTCACGAAAGTTGGCAAATTTGGTCCAGGGAAAGCTTGTGTATGAGTCAGGGGAAGGAGATTTAAATATTTTCTCTGTGATATGTGGCATGTAATAGCTAGAAATATCTAAAATGCTTATATTTATAGGTAGTATATATAATGGTATACCTTCATACTATATATACAGGTCTATGTAATATATACAGGTCTATGTAATAATGTCTTAAAATTGCTGAATAATATCTATAGCACACAAGAGAATTTACTCCTACTTTATGAGATACGGAATCTCAGGACGCTGTAAGAAAATACATTGCTAACATGTATTGGGGACTGTATTAATCAGGTAATGCTAGTACTATGCCAGAGGCTGAATATAGTCAAAGTTCATTTCTGTCTCGTAGCAACGACCCCACAGACTTACTAAATGACTCGGGCACTGTTCTGAGTACTCTATAGGTTCCGATCAGCTCCGTTAATCTCCGTGACAGTTTGCAAGGGAAGAATTCTTATCTCCACTCTCAGACGAGGAAACCAAGTCACTCAGTGAGGCCGAGCCGGCCCAGGCAGTCCAGCTACAGAACCTGCATCTCGCCCTCGGTGCAGCCTCCCAGCACAGGTTCCACCCTTCTCCTATTCAGAGAAAGTGACCAGACACTTGTCGCGCCTACACTGGCGCTGGGGACACGATGGTGAATGAAACAAACAAAAGTCTCTGCTGCCATGAAGCTGACACTCTGGTGACTGTAAATTCCATTCTATTCACCAGTTCTCATGCATCGGTTTGCATTCAAGAGTTCACGAGCTCACTCCGTGAACCCTGGTGCGGGCGGCTGTGGCGCTGGGCTAGGGTTTTCCCTGGGCCAGGTCTCACCGTCTCCGCAGTCACGCAGGAAAGACATCTGATTCCTGATCCCATCGTGTCCTGGCCACAAGTACTTATTCAGATGAGTTGGCCTCCCTGAGCCTCGGTTTCTTCATCTGTGAAATGGGGGTGATAATACCCATCTCACAGGCCTGTGGAAGAGCCCAAACGGGGTGCAGTTCCACAACCTGGCTGAGGGTCCAATTCCGGGGGGCTCAAATCGCACCCCCCATATTCATTGCAGAGCTGTTGGGGGCTGGGGACGAACTCCACGCCGTGGCAGATGGGAAAGCGTTTCACAGGCTCCTCTGAAGGGCCGTGGGAATGTCTGCGGGCCCCAGCCTGGGGTCTGCCCTCTTTGGAAAGCGACCTGCTGCTTTCTCACATGCAAAATGCAGGGCGACTCCCAGCCAAGCTGGGGCACAGTGACCAGCTGATGAACATTCATCGGCCTCCTTAGTGGCAGTCCCCAGCCCAGAATCAAACCTTTACTGCCGCCAAGCTTCAGCTAACCCTCAGAAGCCCCGGTGCAGGGAAGGAAGGCAGGGTTTTGAAGTCTCGGGTTTTAGATCCTCTCCGCAGCGCTGCGGGCGTGTGTGCTTTGACTCACCAGGCAGATGTCCAGACAGACAAAGCCGTACCTTCCTTCAGGGGTGAGGGAGAGGGCTCAGGCAGCTTCTGAAGAGTGAGAAGTGAGGAAGAAGCAGGTGGGCCCTGGGCCCGCCACCCCCAGAAGCTAAGATGTGTCATGTGCTCCTTCTCCCCTTGTTTTGCAGGGAACTTCAAAGGTCTGTGCAAGCAAATCGATCACTTCCCAGAGGATGCAGATTACGAAGCTGACACAGCAGAATATTTCCTCCGTGAGTGCACACGATTTTTTATTCTCCTTCCTGGGGCTGGATCCTGCCCTTCCATCCTTCACAGAGCCGAGCGCCAGGCCTATCTGGAGGCCCCTGTCACCGCAGAGGGCAGGAAAACACTCAGAGGGCAGTGCAAACCCTCATGCATGCTGATCCCTCTGCCTGCAACCCCTGCCCTCCCCCTTTGGTCTGGCAAACTCCTACTCCTCCTCCAGGTCTCAGCTGAAATGTCACCTCCTCCAGAAAGTCCCTCCTGCCTCCCGCGTGGGTCCCTGGAGCACAGCTCTTTGTTATGCTGTGGGCCTTTGTCTGTCTGAGCAACCGTCTCCCAGTTCTGCTGGGGCATAGTCCCAGCCCAGCGCTTGGCATTTAATAGGCACTCAGTAAATATTTCTTCAATAATTAAATGAAGAAACCCACCAGGCAGTGCCAGATTGAAAGTTCTAATGAAAAAAATATGAGATTTTTTTTTCTTCCCCCGCAAGTCAAGTAAGTCAAAGTTAAATCCTGTTGTAACAGCTGCGATCTTAAATCCACCTGAGACATTATCAAGAGAAAGCATTTTGAGGCCCCAAGGAAATTTCTCAAGCATCAGCAAAAACTAACAAGGCTACCTGTTCCCCGAGAAAGGATTTCCCAGAGAGGGGTTGAGAGTCCTTGACACCGGGGACAGCAAAGCCATCGGCTCTCAGGCCGCCTCTTTGGGGAGGTTTGTCCTCCACCCAGGAGCAGCGCCCCCTCCCCCTCCCCCACCTAGGTGCCCCTCTTCCGCCCCTCCCCCCCAGCAGAGGGGTTGCATTACCCTGAGATCACTTGAATGAAACATGTAGGAGGCATTTTATTATGTGGATTGCCCCTGTCTCTTTCAATAATCCCTTCTCACATCAAACCCAGCTCTCAGGTCGGCCTGGAATCTGGCTTCGCTGAAAAGCCCATGGAACATGAAGTCGGCCAGGCAGCTGGGAAGAGAAAGGAAGGGAACACGATGCAATTTATAGATTTTTTTTTTAAGAGGAAAAAATATACTGTGCTCATCATTTCCTTTTATGAATTCCCTCAAGACGTTCCTCTTAAATGGAAATCCTTAAAGGCCATTTGGTCGTGGGTACCTGTGTCTGGGCTGAGACCACAGGAGCCTGGCGGCGCCGTAAGTGTGGCTTGCGCACCTTCTGTGCCCGGTGCTGGGGAGGCCAAGACGGATCGGGGACACGCAGTCACTGGCCCAGGAAGAGCACAGCCTGGCGGGGAGGGCCCTTGGAGAGGCAGCTGGCTGGGGAGAGGCAGCAGGGCCCAGATAGGCCTGGCTCCAGAGGAGGAAGTGGCAGCAAAGCCAGGCCCCACACCCGGAGCCACAGGTCCCCCTGGCAGCGCAGTGATGAGGTCATGCTTTGTCAGCCAGGCTGTAAGCACCCGGGGCAGGAAACATGCCTCATCCATTGCTCCCCTATAATAGCTCCTGCAGTATGATAAGCGCTCCATAAATGCTTTTTGTCAAATAAAGGAAAGATATAGAACTCTTCAGTGGCAATTCCGAACAACTCAATGCCTCAATTTCCTCTTTGTAAAGAGAGAAGAGCTTAGAGTGTTTGGTTCATTTTGATGTCGCTGGACAAAAGACTTGGGACTCCGTTAGCCGTGCTGGATTCTGGGGGTCTCATTGGGGTTGACTTAATCTGACAATATGTTTTGAGCGTCTAAAACAGGAGTTGGCAAACTTTCCCTGTAAAGGATCAGACAAGAAATATTTAGGCCCTGAGGGCTGCAGAGTCTCTGTCCCAGCTACTCGACTCGGCCCTTGTAGCACAAAAGCTGCCGCCAACAATATGGAAGCGAATGAACATGGCTGTGTTCCAGTAAAGCTTAACTCGATCCACAAAAATGAGCAGCAGTCTGCATTTGGCATGGCTTGCTGGCCCCTGATCCATCAAATGCTAGTCCAGGGCTAGACGACACATATAGTTTTTTTATGCTGGAAGGAATGAGTTTCTATACCCTCTGTGAAGCTCTAACCTTGGTGAGAGAAGCCGGAAACAGGAATGATGTTTCTAGGATTCCCTCTCCCACCCACCCCCTTGCTCACTTTTTGATTCCGAAGCCCTTCTGGGGCCTCCCCAGCACCCTGTGGTTTCTCCATCTCCACCATTAACACACTTGGCTGCAATTTCACTGATGCGCGCCCAGGGAACTGAGAGCTTCTTGAAGGCAGAACTGTGACCCATTCATTTCTGCACCCCAAGCACCCAGCACAGGGCCTGGCAGGGCACAGTTGCCCAATAATGCACTTTGATGACTGAGCAAGGAAGTGACTGCTTGAGTAAGCGAGCACTCAAGTAAATCATAGCCAAATGCCACCAAGAACAATGCATGCAGGCCACAGGCTTCCAGAGGAAGAGAGCTGGGGGCCACAGAGGTGGACAGAGCAGCTCCCAGAGGTGGGCGGGGCTTTGGACCAGGAAGGGGCGGGGCCGTACCCCAGGTGGGCGGGGCCTGAGTCAGGTCTGAGTTCAGCTTTGTCAAATCCACCTGCAGAGGAGGCTGTGACAGGGGCAGAAGCAGCCTCTGTCCTACCGGTTAGCCGCCTGGAGACAGACCATGAACCTAATATTAATACTTATGCCACACGCAGGGATAAAAGGAAGCACACTGTGCTGAGGGAGACTGCCCCCTAACCCAGCCCAGAAGAAGTCATTCCAGAAGGGGTCCCTAGAGAAGGTGGCACCAGAGCTGAGGCTCGAACTCTGAAAGGATTCATAAATTCATTCACTGACGACATATTTACTAAGCACTTACTATGCACTGGGCACTACTGTCAGTCCTGGGCATCCAAGAGGGCACCAAACCAAGGGAGCCCCCGCCTTGGTGAAGGTTACATTCTAGTGGGGAACAGCAATAGGCAAGTGTACAATCACTCCTCCCTGCCCTCTGCCCCTGAGAGTTCCAGAGAGGTCTGGGAGGGCTGGAGAGTGGGCAGTGATGGGGGAGGGGCAGGGGGCACAAAGGACATGTCCCTTAGAGGCAGGGAGGCCATGCGTCCTCCAGGTGGGGCTGGGGGTGGGTTTCAGGTTAGGAATGGAGGTGAGAGGAGAGGGAAGCCGCAGTCAAGCAACTCTTCTCCCTCCCCCAAAATCAGGGCCAAATCCACACACAGCATCTGCCAGAGGAGTTAGGCCCCATTTTCCATATTCCCAAGTGGCTCCTACATTAATTTTTCCCAGAGAAGCAGAGGTGTGAGCCAGGTGGGACAACCCAATACCTTTTCCCTGCTGTTACTGGCCTCCACAGTATTCCTTAACCCAAGAACTCTGTATAATGAAGAACTGGAGCCATGCCAGGAATGCACATGCCTATTACAGGCATGTAGTGAGTTAGTTACAGGGTCCATGAAACAAGTGCAGCTTCCTTCACTGGTAACTGTGAGCAATTCACACCTTCCACAAATCTTCATGGAACAGCCCCCTGTAAGCCAGGCTCTCTTCCGGGTGCTAAAGATATGGCCTTGGGGGCACTTGCAATCTACCATAAACGAAATTAACAGGTTAATGATATAGTATCTTAGACTTTCACAAGTGATATGGAGAAAAATAAAGCAAGAAGGGGGATAGGGAATTCCAGAGTGGGGGTGAGGCCAAGAAGGTCTTCCCTGAGAAGTTTGCACAAAGACCCAAAGGAGGTAAGAGAATAAGCCACATGGGTATCTGGGGGAAGATTGTTCTATAGGCAGAGAGGACAGCAAGTGCAAAGGCCCTGGGGTGGGAGTGTGCCTGGAATGTTTGGGGAGCAAGACTGAGGCCAGCAGGGTGAGAATGGAGTGAGCAAGGAGGAGTAAGGAAGAGCAAGTGCTGGGAGGCCCTAGGGACACCCCACTTGTGCCCCAAAGACTTGGGGTTTTTCTCTGATTAAGGGACACCATCTCACTTCTGAACGAGACCCTTTGTTGCTTATACGAGACTGAAAGAGGACCAGGGCAGAAGCCCGCAGAAGAGTTAGGAGCCTGTTGCGACAATCGAGGCAAGAGGTGATGGCAGCTCGAACCAGGTGGCGGCAGTGAGGAGGGTGAAACAGGGCCAGATGCTGATCGTGCTTCCAGGGCACCATGTACAAGACACATAGGCTGCCTGTGGATTTTGAGGGGAAGGAAGGAGCCAAGGGTGACTCCAAGACTTTTTGCCCATGGCCAGGGGACAGGCCCAATGTTGGTCATATTAAGCTAGAGATGCCCATGGGACTTCCTGGGGCCATGTCAGGCACTCGGTGTGGGCCTGGAGTCTGGGGTTCACAAGGGAGCCCCTGGGCAGAGGTAGGAGTTTGCCGGGTGTCCGCGGGTGGATGACATTTAAAGCATGGCACTTGATGAGCTCACCAAGCTTGGAGTAGCAGAGAGAGAGGAGAAGAGAGGCCCGGACACTGCGCCCTAGGCCACCAAGGCTTAGAGGCCAAGGAGATGAGGGGCCCCTGCAAGGAGGCTGAGGTGGCCTGGGTAACGGCGCCACCCTCGTTTCCGCAGCCGCAGGACTGAGGATGTGGAGCAGAGAGGGAGGACAGAGAATGCCAGAAGGGCCTGGCTGGACAGAGGCCAGAGCTCGTCTGCAGGGGCGGCAGAGATGTTGGGGCTCCCTCACTCCCAAGCCAGCAGGCCAAGCTCCAGGCGCTGTCCCGCCCCTCTTGGAGGGCCTGGCAGAAGGAAGGTACCCAATCAGTATCTGATGGGACAAATGAAAGAAGGAACGGGCACGCGTAGTGAGGAAGCCCACGAGGGCTGGAGGAGTCCCCCGGCCTCTCCGGAATCACACAGCCGGGGCTCCCTCGTGGCGGGAGAGACGGCTGTAGCAGACCTTGGTCACCACGCTGGGCCCCACGACATCCGGGCCCCGTGAAGGCGTGGCCAGCGTGCCCGCCCCTCCCTGGCTTACCCGGTAACGGAGGGTGACCGGACAGCTTTTCCCGACAGTGCGGTGGGCCCGTCGGGTGTGTCTGCTGTGTGGCCTCCGCATCCTCTGCCC